AGGCTGATAATCAAGATAGTCTCTACATTTAGTTCTGAGCTTCCCAGCAGCCAGGGCCAAAAGGGAAGCACAATTAGTGCAGCAGTGGTATGTGACTATGAGGTCAGATGACAGCTCTGCACCCAGAGACGGTCTGTGCCGGAGCCCAGGGGCCTTCGGAGCGGGACTTGGGCTGAACAGTGAGCACCTGGCGCCCATGCCCTTCTCCCGGCGCTGCGCTCCTGGGCGGGGCCAGCCAGGCGCCCCGCCCACCCCCATGCGGAGCCCAGGCTCAGCTCCCTCTCCCGCCCGCCCACCCGCCTGAAGCCGCTGGTCTCGCCCACAGGGAGTACTGCCAGAGGGCGCTGAGGAAGCCCGCGCAGGACTGCTCGGCCTACACGCTGTCCTTTGACACCACGGTTTTCATCGTAGAGAGCACGCGGCGGCGGGTGGCGGTGGAGGCCACGCTGGGGAACAGGGGCGAGAACGCCTACAGCGCCGTGCTGAACATCTCGCAGTCCCCCAACCTGCAGTTCGCCAGCCTGGTGCAGAAGGTGAAGTCCCTGTCGCGGTCTGCCCGCCCCTTCCTCCAGTCCCGACTTTGATCTTCACGCCACCCCGGGTCCTGCTGCAAGGCTGACACCCCAGCCCACTAGCTCGGCACCTCCACCCTCCCCTGGGGCTCCGCTCCCGCCGGTCGGCTCCTCCTGGCCCGCATAAGGACCGGCCCCATGCTAACGGTGCAGGAGGTCCTTGGTGTGGGGGAAACTGAGGCACCGGGAACCCCTCTGTGGCCTGCTCAGGAACACACCGCTAGTAAGTGGCAGCATGAGGTTCCGGCCCAGCAGCTGGCCCCAGAGCTGCACTTGGTGACAACACTGTCCCCACCTCACCTCTCCTGGTGTCTTTCCCGAAGCCCAAAGGGCCACAGAGGGCTCTGGTCCCTCTTGCATGGCCCCGCTGGGACCCCAAGTCACCCCCAGAGGGCACGCACATCTCAGTGTCCTCAGAGCCGGGACACAGCTGTCAGGCTCTCCTGCGGGGCCCGGCCCCCTAGGTGCAGTCTCTGTCCTCACCGGTCTCGGGGACATGCAGAGCCGAGTGTAGGAGGGAAGGGCAGGGGCCTGCTGTCCCCACCTCCCCAGCACCGCTGCCCCAAGCCGCCCTCCCGTGTCCCCACGCTTGCCGGGAGGAGCGGAGGGGAGGCCGAGCAGGGGGCAGGCCGCGCGCCTGAGACCGCCGTGCCCTCCCCCAGGTCCTCCGCCGGGCCCTCGGTGCCCTGAGCCAGCGGCTGGCTGTGGCTGCGGCCCAACAGTCTCCCCCCCGCTGGCCAGGGTGACAGAGCGACGGTCGCCGTCTCCCAGAGCCACTCCTGCCCAGGGGTCCCCGATCGGGGACGCACAGGGGCCATCAAGTCCCTGTCTCAGCCTGAGTGTCTCCGGGGGCACAGCAGGAGGGAGAGGAGGGAGAGGAGAGGAGAGGACAGGGTGCCGGGCAGTGCCGTGTCCCCGCGCAGCAGTCGGCCTCAGGAGCCTAAGAGCGCGCACGGAAGGGGGCACTGGGCCCCAGAGCCCACAGCCAGCCGGGGACTCGGCAGGATGTGGCCCCCGCGGACGCACACACGCCACAGGCTGGCCGTGCACCTGCACACACGTGACCCACACGTGTCTGCAGACGTGAGCTCCCGTGCACACCCATGTGCCAGGCAGTGCCGCAGTGCACAGCCCGCAGCGGGCGGAGCCGCTGATGACAGGGCGAGCCTCGAGTTCAACTCAGCTTCTCCACACTCTGTCCCCGCGCCCTGGGGACAGCTCCCCTCGGCCAGGGGCAAGGAGAGCCACGGGCACCGTGTGGCCAAGGCACCCGTGCCAGCCAGCAGGGCCTTTAGTCCGGGTGCCTGACGCTGTGGTAACGGAACCCCCAGGCCTGGAGACGTGGTTGCCCTGCAAAGAGGCGACACGGAGCCACAAGAAACGCCCACTGCCCCACCAGGGGTCAGCCCTCGGCCACTCACTGTTTTTCTGGAGTACAAAGTCACTTCAGACCACACACTGCGTGCCATGGTGCCAGGAGCGCTCTCCCCAGCCTGACAGAAAGCTGCACGGAGCCAGGGGAGGCGGGAGCTCAGCGACCGGCCTCCGAGGCCTCTGCGGTCCCAGCAGGCTTTGCACGGGCGGTGGGAGAGGCAGCCCCGGGGTCAGCCCTGCCTCACTGCCCGCCTGGCGTCCTTGCCCGCCCCCAGGACGACTCGGACAACAGCATCGAGTGCGTGAACGAGGAGCGGAGGCTGCACAAGAAAGTCTGCAACGTCAGCTACCCCTTCTTCAGGGCCAAGGCCAAGGTTGGACGGGCACCGGAGGGGCACGGGGGCAGGGCACGGTGAGGCGGCGGGCGCCCGTGTGTGCGCTTCGTTGTACTCCCAGGAAGTGACACAGAAAGGAGACTCCTGCACGGCCCAGGCACCGGCCAGGCCCCAGGGCCCCCTGCCACCCCCACCCCGGCCCATCCCGCCGCCCTTTATCCTCCAAGTCTCCACACTGGCAGCTTCCACCGGCCCCTGCCACCGCGCCATGCACGGGCCCTCTCACCTACTGCCCACGTGCTCGGGAGCCCACGGGGCCGGGGGACAGGGGACAGAAGCACAGAGGGGAGGGCACTGGGCAGCCGCAGAAGAGCTGAGGCTGCAAGTCGGAGGTAGGGGAGCTCGGGCGCAGGGCGGCACTGTCCCAGGAGCAGGGCTGTGCGGCTCAGGAGCGGGAGAGATGCATGTGGCTCTGGGCCCCTTGTTAGAGGCTCCTTGGGAGACAGAAGTGCAGGGCGGCCCAGACTCCGGAGTGAGGTGCAACTCAGCCCCCCATGCCCCGACACCCCGGGAGACGGACTCCTGGCCTCCTAGGGGAGCAGAGGGGCTGGCACAGCATGCCTGTGATGCCCAACCAGGAGGCACAGGGATCGGATGTGGCTGGGACAGTCAGGGCCCCTCTCCCCGGGACCAGGCCAGCAGTGTGGCCTTAGGCTGCAGGATGAGGGGCCAGGGCCCTGTCGGCGGCTGTATGACCCCACCGGCACCCAAGCATCCACCCCCATCCTGTGGTGGGCAGTGATGGGCCCCTCCCCTTGCGTTATTCTCCCGACTCAGTGAAAGTGCTGGCTGCCTTCCAGCTAAGAAAGTCAGGGCGCACACCTGTAGTCCCAGCTCTTGGGAGGCTGAGGCAGGAGAACTGCTGTGAGTTCAAGACAAGCCTAGACTACATAGGAAGACCCTGTCTAAAAAAACAAACAAATATATATACGGAGGGACCCACTGTAGCAGCGATGAGGGTGACAGACAGGCCGGGCTCGGCGACAGGAAGATCCAGCTCCATCTGCGCCCTCCCTGCAGGTAGCTTTCCGGCTGGACTTCGAGTTCAGCAAGTCCATCTTCCTGCATCACTTGGAGATCCAGCTCAGCTCCGGCAGGTCAGGCTCACCCCATCTCCCTGCCTCGCCCACCTGCCAAGCTCTATCCCCTGCCCCAGCCTGCGGGCCCAGGCCGGGTACAAGCAGGACGTGAGCAGTGATGCGCATGCCTTACTTGTCAGAGCATGTTAGGGAGCAGTTAGAGGCCCCCCCTCAGTGTGGGGCCCTGTGCATATGTCCATCAGCCCTCACGGCAGGCTCTAAAGATCAGCAGAGCTGGGTGTGGTGGTACACACCTATAATCTTAGCCCTTGGGAGCCTGAGGCAGGAGGACTGCCAGGATTTGAGGCCGGCCTGGGCTAGAGTCAGTTTAAACCCAGCCTAAACTGCATGAGACCCTGTTGCAAAAAACAGACAAAAACCAAAAATCAGCAAAGCAAGGGCTATTCCCCACACCACCCTCCAAGGGACAGGTAAGAAAAGGAAGGCTCAGAGAGGGTGAGTGAATTTCCCAGTGACACACAGCATGTAAATGGTGCTACAGGGAGCTGAGCACTAGTTATCCTCCTCACCCATTCCCTCCCTTGCCCTGGAAACTTTTCCATTCTTGAGAGACCGTTTCCCACTCCATGGGGATCTGTCTGGCCCCAGGCCTCCTGGAGGTGCTTGCTGTGTGTCCACACCACGACTTTCCCTGTGCGGTAGTAAACACGCTTCCTTTTACACACAATCCCCTCTGCGGGGCGCGGGTCCTGTCTCCTCTGGAGCCTCATAAACAGCCGAGACCCTCAGCTGAGGTATGAACACGGCAGGCAAACCAAGCGCCCACTCCCCACACACACAGCCCACATCTCAGTGTGGGAGGTGCCCACTCCTGGGGCTCCAGCCCCGGTCCCCCGAGAGCACCTGCACAGTCAAGCCTGGGGTGTCTGTGGGTTCAGGCGGGCCGGAGGGGAGCACTCAGGTATGCATGTCTCAGGGACCCCCTTTCTCACCAAACACCTCTCGGGGATCACGGAGTCAAAGCCAGGAAACCCAAAGTGCCTGGGAGAAACAGGCCGTGTGTTTTCACGCCCAAAAGCGCCTGCCCTGGGGAGTCTCAGCGACTAGGACCATACGCCTACCGAGCCTCTGAGGTCCCCCTCGCCGCCCTCGTCACCTCCTTTCTCCAGGGGCCCTGGGTAGGGCAACAGGGTTCACGAAGGAAGTCAGGGACAGATGCGCACCCTTCTGTCCCTCGCCCAGGGCAGGGTGGCAACACGGATGTCACGCCATCCTGTGACACACAGCAGGGGGCCCGCGTGGCTGCCACCTGGCCCTTACCCTCCGGTAGCCCCTTGGCATCCTCGCTGTCCCCCACCAGCTGCCTCAGGCCCCTCCTGTGCCCGAGTGGGGGAGGGAAGAAGGGCTCCTTCCCGACCCGGCTGTCCCTGCAGTGACAGTGACGAGCAGGACAGCACCAAGGAGGACAACACGGCGCTCCTGCGCTTCCACCTCAAGTACGAGGCAGACATCCTCTTCACCAGGTCGGTGCCGGGCAGGGGGGCGGGGAGGAGAGGAGTGCAGCCCCATCCGCTGGGGGAGGAGTCCCAGGCCAAGCTCCCAGCGGGGGCAGTGGGAGGTACCCCACCCCAGCATGGGCAGTAAGAGGGTTCATTGTAGAGAACTTTAAAACAGAATTTAAAAGAGCTACAGACCGGGCGTGGCGGCATACACCTGTAATCCCAGTACTCAGGAGGCTCTGGCGGGAGGGTCACTGCAAGTTCTAGGCCACCCTGGACTACATAGTGAGATCCTATCTCAGGGGAAAAACCACCTCACTGGGAAACAACACACCCTACCACAGCTGCACGATCACCGGCCCCACCCACAAGCTACCGGCTAGTGGGGCCACCCAGGACACCCCAGAGCCTAGGAGGGGCCGCGGGTGGGTGAAGGGGCTGGTACCTAGCTCTGACTCCCGACAACCGATGGCAACATGGTCCTCGCGGGGCCTCAGAATCCATCCACGCCACCCCGGGCCACGGGGCGGCCCTGGCCTTTGTCTGGGGAGGCAGGCCCCGCCCCCTTCCATCTCCGTCCACCCAACAGTGCCGGTGCTCACGCCGCCACCCTTCCTGTCCACAGGGCCAGCAGCCTGAGCCACTACGAGGTCAAGGCCAACAGCTCCCTGGAGAGATACGACGGCCTCGGGCCTCCCTTCAGCTGCGTCTTCAGGGTATGGCTCAGGGTGGCCAGGCCTAGGCTCAGGCCCAACAGGGAGGGGAGCGTGGGGGAATCAGCCCCAGTGGCTGGGGTCCGGCTGCCACCTTGCCATGAACTCGGGGTGACTCCTGACAAGTTTCCTCCTCTCTCTGGTTATTAGTCATCAAAACTACTAATGTTTTGGGGGTATATCAGAAGATTAGGGGTGCCTGCTTAAAAAATTTTAAGTATGATTTAAGCACACCAGCCATTACACTCACACATAAAAGAAGTCCAGAGTTGGCAGTTTCGAAAAGTTGTCCAGGAGGGGGTTCTTTAGTTCCACTCCCCTTGGCCTCAAATTCACCTCACAGTCCAAGATGGCTGCAGCTCCAGCCATCACATTCTGATTCCAGGCAGCAGCACTCTCCCTACTGGGGAGTTCCCTGGCAACCCCTTATACTTCCATCGACCTTCTCCAAAGCCTTGTGTTTTTGCTGAGGGAGGATGGGAAGTGGGTGGGAGCCTTCCATCTTGGTTCTATCCCTCAGGCAGAAGGGAAAATGGGATTGGCGAGCAACTTAGCAGTCTCTGCTGCAGCCCTCAGCCTGGCCTGCGTTTATCCATCCCATGGCTGAGTGGGAGCAGGGCAGGATGGCAGCTGGGGGCGGGGCTGCAGACATCTGAGCCCTGTGTGCCCTGTCCCAGAGAGGTTTGGTAATCTGCCTGAGGCCACACAGCTTCCCCAGGGCAGCATAGCCGGAGTCCTGTCCAAAGCCTTGCTTGGGTGTGATCACTGCCTCTCCGCCACCAAACGTGTCCCTGCCGGAACTGGAGCTACCAGCACTGGACCCAGCTAGAGGAGAGAACTACAGGCCCACCTCCTTCATGAACGCAGATGCAGAAATCCTCAAAAAGATACCGGCAGGCACAGGCAGCACAGGCCGAGCTCGCTCGCGCGGTGACCAAGGAGCGCCGTCCAGGACAGCAGGGGTGGCTGAGCTTAGGCAGATCACCAGGCGTGCTGTTCGGCGCACCCGGAGTTTATCGTCCCAGCTTTCCGTCGCACCACGACGGCCCCCAACCGTTCAGCCTCAGCAACTCCCCGCAAGCAAAGGGGCGCTGAGTGGCAGTGGCCAGGCCTCCAGGGGCCCAGCCTCCCACCCGGCGCTCCATGCACGGATGGCCACGCAGTCCCGGCCGTGAGCCTGTGCTGTGAGCACGCCGGGCCTGAGTGGCGCCCCTGGGCCCGTTCTCCCCGCCCTGGGCTTCACTGAAGGCCCGCCCCCTCTTCGCTGCAGATCCAGAACCTGGGCTTCTTCCCCATCCACGGGGTGATGATGAAGATCACCATTCCTGTGGCCACCAGGGGCGGCAACCGACTGCTGGTGCTGAAGGACTTCCTCACCGACCAGGTGCCAGGCCCCAGAAGCCGCCACAGGGGAGGGCTCGGCCGGAGACAGGCATGGCCTCTGGAGGTCCCCAGACTCCAGCTCCCTCCTCCAGGACCAGGATGGAGGCGGAGGGGACGTTCCGGAGGCCGGGTCTCACAGGCTGTCTCCCGTGCAGGTGAACACGTCCTGTAACATCTGGGGGAACACCACTGAGTACCGGCCCACCCCGACGGACGAGGACTTGAGTCGGGCCCTGCAGCTGGTGAGCGTCCCCAAACCAAGAGCCAAAGGACGGGGTTAGACGGCTGCTGCCTGCTCCAGGGGCCATGTCTCTCCCAGCCAAGAGTTTGCTGAGCTGAGTGCAGTGACATATACCTGTAGACCCAGCTACTCGGGAGGCTGAGACAGGAGGGTTGCTGCAGGCCACTGATTTCCAGGGCAGCATGGGCAACATAGGGAGCCCCTAGCTCAGAAAGACAGAGTGTATGTGAGAGAGTCCTTCCTCAGCACCTCCGTGGCCCAGCCCTGGATGGAGGAAAAGGAAAAGGGCCTCTTCTCACAGGAGGGAAGACAGACACAGTGCGAGGCCTCGAACCCGGCCGATGGGGTCAGCAGGGCCACACTGTAGACAGAAGGGCAGAGGCAGAGGCCGGAAAGCACGTGCACGAGCGGGAGCCCTGTGGCCGCAGGTTGGAGCTGGCACCCCACCTCCAACGCCAGACCCTGCCCAGGCATCTGCCGGCCCCGGGTCTCCCTGCCTGCACTACCGAGCCCAGGGTCCCGTGTCCAGCCCGCACTTACAGTTCTGCACGGGCAAAAGTCTGAGCTGCTGTAGTTTTATCTCCCCAAACCAGTGCCTTGCACAGAGCACTTTTTCGTTGCATTGCGCTTCGGGGCGGGGCAGCAAGCCAGCCACACATGGCTTTCCCCTAGGAAATCCTGATTGCTGGATGATTTGTTTGGGTTTCCTATCAGTTTTCCATCCAGTCCTTATAAATTGCTTCTCTTGCCGTATTACTCTGGCCAGGACCGCCCAGGCCGAAGAAACAGAAGCAATGACAGGATGACCAGAATTTCCTTGGTGCCAATTTTAAGGGAACCTGCTTGCGGTCAGATACAAACAGCCACACTCCCTTTAAGCAGATGCAGGAAGTTCCCTAGCGGACCATCAGGAACAGAGGCTGGATTCCTAGAATACTTTTTCTACATCTGTTGCACCGATCATATCATTTTTCTTTTGAAAAAAAAAATTAATTTTTTTGAGACAGGGTCTTGTCCTGCAGTTCAGGCTGGTCTTGAACTCAGTATGTAGCACAGACTGAGAGCTTGCAGCGATCCGCCTGCCTCAGCCTCCTGTGCGTTGGGATTACAGGCAAGCCCCATCATACCAGCTCATTCTTCCTTTTGATTTACGTACGTTGGTAATGACATTGATAGACTTCTTAATATAAACCAAACTTCTGTTCCTGGAACTCACCCACCCTGGTCATTGTGCACAAGGTCAGGCTCCCAGCCAGCCCCTCTCCTGCCGCCCGGCCACTCCCCGCCCCCCAGCAGAGCCCCACGTGCTCAGGCGGGCACTGAGCCCCCGGCCGTGCGCCCTGCTCACCCAGCCCAACCTCTCAGAACCACAGCAACTCCGATGTGGTCTCCATCAACTGCAACGTGCGGCTGGCCCCCAACCAGGAGCTCAACTTCCACCTGCTGGGGAACCTGTGGCTGAGGTCCCTGAAGGCGGTAAGCGGGCGGGTGGGGACGGAGGCCGGCGGGAAGGGGCTTCCGGGCAGCGCCCTGGGAGCCAGCTTCCCACCGCGCCCTGCTCCCGCAGCTCAAGTTCAGGTCCCTGAAGATCACGGTGAACGCGGCGCTGCAGAGGCAGTTCCACAGCCCCTTCATCTTCCGCGAGGAGGACCCCAGCCGCCAGGTGAGACCCTGCCCTCGAGCTCCTGTGGCACAGAGCGGGAGGCAGAGGAGAAGAAAGGCAAGAACAGGCCCAGCCTTCTGACCCACCATGGTGGCCCCTAACTGTTCAGCCTCAACAACGCCCCCAGGCCAGGGGCGCCGCGTGGGCGTGGCCCCAGCCTCCGGACCCGCACCGCCTGCGCGGACGGCCACGCGGCCCGGGCTGCGATTTGGCTGTGGCGGAGCTCTGCAGGCTGCGCCGGGACGGCGGATGCGGGACTCTGCCGCCCTCCAGTGGCCGCATGGCAGAACGGGAAGCCGGCGCAGGACGGCACCGAGCCGTGCGGACCCCAGGCGGGCGGGGTTCGCCCAGCAGAGGGCCGCCAGGACGCGCCCCGCAACGGACCATCCCCTCCGCAACAGTGTTCCGTCAGCAGGCGCCTCCCTGCACCCCTGCCCCAGTCTCCCCGTGCGCTCCGCGTACTCACTCCTCCCGTGAAAAGCAACCCCCCCATGAGCCCTGCTGCCCGGGGCTTGGTGTGAGGCCCGCGGCGCAGGGCGGGCTCAGCAAGGTCCCAGCCGGCGCGGTCACAGGGGGCGCCGTCCATGCCGAGCAAGGGCCCCAGCCACTTTGGCCTTTGGGACCCCTTTCTCCGTTTGGGGGGAAAAAAAAAAAATTTTTTTTGGATTATCTTATTTCTAATTTTAAAAGCAACTAAAAGTTTCCCGGGCCCCTGGAAGTGCTGCAGAGCACAGGCGCCGTCCTACCATCCCACAAGTGAGGCCGGAGTCCCCAGACAAGGAGGCGGAGGGGACAGCGTGTGGCGAACACCGGGCAGTTTGGAGGCTGGCGGGGATCGAGGAGAGCAGAGCAGCCATGCCCGGAGGCCGCCGGGGGCTTGCCCCGCAGGAGCCTCGGCCCAGGCCGCCGGGCCCCGCAGCCACTGCTCCCGCAGCTGCCTCGCTCGGGCGCGGAGCCCGGCCAGGAGAGCACAGCGCTGACCCCGCCACTCCCCGCAGGTCACCTTCGACGTCTCCAAGCAGGAAGACTCGCAGGTCCCCATCTGGATCATCGTGGGCAGCACGCTGGGGGGCCTCCTGCTGCTGGCGCTGCTGGTCCTGGCGCTGTGGAAGGTGAGGCACGTGGGGACTGTGCGGTCTCGGCCCCTTCGCAGCCCGCACCCACGCAGGCCCTCGGGAGGCGGCCCCAGCCTGGGGCTCGGCCCTCTGCGAACTGGGGAAAGGCAGGACCTGCACTTTTCCACTTGCTCCCCTTCCGGGTCTCTCCCTCCCTTCTTCCCTTCCGTTCCCTGCCTTCCCTGCCTTCCCCTCGCTGGCCCACCCCTCACTTACCTTCTCTTGCCTCTCCTTCCATTCCTGTCTGCCCCAAATTCCAACAAGGTCAGGCAGGGAGCCCCCAGAGCCCCTCCCTGTCTCTGCCCCTGGTCTGCATCCTCCTGCGAGCTGCAGCAGGGAGTCACAGGGGGCTCCGGGCCACCCAGGAGGGCCTGGAGCGGGCCGGCCTGAGACTCCCTCTCTGCCTCCCACAGCTGGGCTTCTTTAAAAGTGCCAAGCGCAAGAGGGAGCCTGGCGCGGACCCCAGCCCCAAAGTGCTAGAGTGAGGCTCCGGAGGAGGCGTGGAGTTGACAGGGCCGCCAAGGCCCAGGCGGGGTGCAGGCCCAGGCCCGCGGCCCCACTAAGCTGGGGCGGAGAGGACGCTGCTGGCTTTGCACTTGACCTCGACCCCCAAGCATGGCGCCTGCTCCGCCTGGGATGGAACTTAAGCACGTGTTGAGGAGCCACCCTGCTGGAGGCTCTCAGGAGGGCACTGCACACCCAGACGCCGCGGTACCAGCAGTCTGCAATCAGCCCGTGTTGGAGCCAGGAGCAAGACTGTACATACAAACCTCCCCGCAGCTCCATCGGTGACCCAGCCTTTCCCTGTAGACAGGCCCCATAGACGCTCCCCGCCTGAGGCTGGTTGGGCCAGCTGCAGGCCGGGATGGGGAGCGGCGCTGGGAAGTGACGTCACACAGGCAGGGGAGACCCGTCACTCTGCCTCGCTGCCGGCCGCACCTCCCACTTGCTTCTGTCCCTAGGTACCTCACTGTGGGCGACACAATTCTGTCCCCGCCGCAGCCCCACCTGTCTCCCGCAGCCTGCCCCACCCCACCAGCGCAGACCTGCTGGCCTGGCTGCACCCCAGCAGAGGTGAGGCCTGGGAGCCCCCTCCCAGCATCCCCCTCTGTGTGTACAGGCAGGTACACAGACACACACGCATGCACACACTCCTCCCTCCAGGGCAGGGGACAGCCCAGCGCCGCTGCGGGGGGCCCTCTCTGGAATGCACTGAAAACGGCCTGCCTGCCAAGGACCCCACGCCCGTGCAGCCTGGGTGGCGAGCATCTCATCTGCCAGGCCACAGGATCCAGGCCACGGTGGCACCCTGAGGACAAGGGGGATGCAGGTGTCCAGTGGAGTAATTTATGCCTTAACCTTTCTTTGAAGTAGAAATGAAAGAGGGACTCATCAAAGACATCTGTTCCCCTGTGCGTACGACCTTTACCGTCGTACATATTTCTAAGAAATTAAAAGTGTTTACAAACCACCAAGGCCCTGCCCCGCTCTGAAGGCGAGGTCGCTCGGGGAGGAGGGCTCTTTCCTTCCCAATTTACCCATCCGGGACCTGGCCACTCTGTGCTCCCTGTGACATGCCCTCCAAAGGACACAGTCTCCCTCCTCCACCGTTGGCAGGCAGACAGAACCCAAACTTGCCGTCACCTCCAGACTCCCGCAGGCGGGGCCTCGAGCGGGCCCTCCTACCCCTGCGTCCCCACACAGTTCTCCTGCCATTCACAGAACCTTGGAAAGTGTCATTTCCCCAGAGTTGGGGATGCTCAGAAGCAAAGAAGTGAAGAGATGGCCCTGGGCTGGGTGCACGGTAAAATCAAAACGCAGCCGCAGGGTGCGAAGTGTTGATTTCTTCAGCCACACTGTCCCTCTGGCCGGACGAGGAGCTAACTCTCTAACTTCAGACACTGAAACATCACTCTTTACACCCTGTCAGGTCTAAACCTTAGTTAGAATCCCAAAGAAATGGTGGGTCACATTCCAGATCAGCCGTCACTCTTCAGAAGGGGGTATCCTGGCAGAAAACAAGACTGAACCCACCCTCCGGTCTCATCTGACTTAGCGACGCCTTCCTTCCTACCCCTGCAGACTTCAGAGAACGCCCTTACAGAAAACCACATCAGCACAAGTTGGCGTTCACATTTAAACAGCTGCCCGTGCCCAGAGCAGGCTGAGCAGAACCTACCTGTAGGTCAGAGTGCTGCGTGGCGCTCCGGCCCCTCCACACACCCCAGGGTGACACCTAGACCGAGTACAGGGTCAGAAGGTGCAGGGGCCGGGAAGCCTGCGCCTCCCAAGTCCTTGGCCCTTGCCTCGTGTCTCTCCTTCCTCTCTGTTGCCTCTTATCAAGTCTTCCGGCCTGGACCCTTCACTCTGAAGTACAAATGTCCAGGACCGGCCTTCAGCAGGCCTGGAAAGGCCAAGCACTCTTTTGCTGTCCTGCCTGGACATCAGCATCACTTGGAGGCTTTCAAAGATGTGACACAGGGCCCCAGTCCTAGGGGTCAGGCGGGATTGGCGGGAGAGGGGCCAGGGCATGGCCTTCGTTTGCTTCACACTCCCCCAGGTAACTTACGCTGAGAGGTGAGCCCAACTGCAGGTGAACAGAGCGCGAAGGCTGAGGGGTAACGTGCCGAGGGCTCTGAGACGCAGACCCGCACTGCTGTCCCGGCGCCAGTCCAGCTCTCGGCGAGTCTCAAGACCCTCAGCAACAGCAGAGCTCCTGGGGTCCTCAGAGCCACACTCGCCGTGGGTGGGAGGGGAAGAACAGCAGCCGTGGGAGACAGTTCTGCCATTCCAAAGCCAGCAGCCCAAAGTTCAACCTTGAATCAACATTAAAATCCATAGTGTGACTCACAGATGTTATCAAGCGTGCACATCTGCTAGTTAATAATTATTTAGATGGAGCTAAGGGCTAAAGCCTGGGTTAACAGGAAATACAACTGACTTAACAATGGCTCAGTCTTTGAAGAGCACCGTGGGCCCAACCTGGACACCACTCTAAGCAAGCTGCTGCAGTTCCTGCGGCCACACGACCGGTAAGACATCCTCAGCAAACCGCAGCGCACAGCGGAACACACCCGGGCGAGGTTTCACTTGTACACCAATTACCCACAGAGGGGGACTGGGCCCTGGTCCGCCACTGTCAGGGTTTCTAAGTCCTGGGCTCGCTGTGTAGCAGAGGAGACAAGTATCCAAGCAGGAGTTGTGGAAAGAGATGGGTAAGATGTCCAGGGTGGGTTTGAGGCTGACTCTGGACTACGGAAGGAGACCTCCACAGATGGGTACGGTCCTTGGAGAAGATGCAGGATTCCAGGGCAGGGTACAGTGCCCTGCAGGAGGCAGGACTCGGTGGGCTGTCCCCGGGGTCAGGCCAGCTGGGAGCTGCAAAGAACAAATCGTGCCAAGTTTCTTCTTTGCAGCCTTAGATGGTGTGGGCTCCCAGACTCCAGGCCAACCGTGCCTCCGAGGGTGTCCAGAGCTGAGCTCTGCAAGTGCCGCCTCAAGCAGAACCACAGGCCCTTCAGCTCCGGCACAGGGCTCCCAGGCCCAGGCTTATAAGAAGTCCTAGGCTGTAGCGTGCCAGCACCCTTGGTCTTCAGCCATCTGTCACACAGCCCATCTCGGCGGCCCTTAAGCAGTACATACCCAGCTGAAGCTCCCAACCTGTACCTTTCCAGGGCACACAGAGGAGTTCGCGAGCTTTCCTTTTGTCAAGGAAGGTGGTGCTTCATGAGCCAGGTACCGTGTGGAGGGGCAGAGTGCTAGAGACTGGGCCACAAGGGAGCGCTGCTGGGTGATGGTGCGGGTGACCCTCCCGGAGAAGCGTGCAAGAGCTGCCATGAGACTCGCCACTTGAGTCTTCCCCTGGCCTCAAGCCCCGGAATGCCAGGCAGCCTGTAATAGGACGAGCCGACTTCATGGTGCTCCTGTCCTGGCATGAGTACTGACGGCCCGCCCAGCGGGAAGGGGCCAGGTCACCACACCTCAGATGTGCCTCTGGCGCCCGGACGTGGCTACCAACGGAAAGTATTTCACTCAGCATCCGGCTATGCACGCTCCTTACAGCTCTTTCTTCTGCACTGCTGCTTACGATTAAAAACAACCCCCAAATCACCTTTCCCTTAAAGAAGCATCCACCAGGCCCTTCGCAAAGGGCAGACAAGCCTAGCCATCCACAATAAGAGCCGCAACACGCTTTTGTGGCACGGAGTGGCTCGCCATGAGGCTGAAGCAGGGCCGAGGCTCCCACTCGAGGTGCAAACAAAGGGCGAGGAGCATCACACCCAAGCTCTGAAACCTCAGCAGGACCCAGGCGAAGCAGCGCCTGGCACGCTCGTCGGGCTCCAGGAGCGCGGTGAGCAGATTCTCTCTTATAAAAGGAGGGCACCACGCCGCCAGGCGCTCATCCTTTCTCACCAGTCTTGCGTGTCCTTTGTTTGCATCTCTCATACTGCACGGAAACAACAGAAAACATGCAGCAAGTCAATGATGTTTTCTGCAATTTTCAGAAGGCAGCCCAAACCAGAATTTATTTTAAAAATACATTTTTATTAGAGAAATTAAAACCTGAGGGAAAAACAGTACATCAGCCAAGCCGGTCAACTAGCTGGTGAGGAGCCTATCAAGGGACCTAGGCAGGGACCGTCCCTAGCGCAGGACCTGGTACACAGGAGGTATGCAAATAGCACTGATTTCCAAGTTGCTCCTACCAGTTCAGGCAAGTTCCTCGCCGAAGGAATGAGCACAACAAATTTTAAAAGCACAGGCAAATCCGAAAAATGTAATTTGGCCTAAACATGCCCACCAGTAAGATCTTATGAACCACTGAAATCCATCTCTCTTGCACTGAAATTACCTAGGTCGAGTCCTGTACGCGACTGTCAACAGTCTGGGTCATGTTACTTTAATACAACAGCTATTGCTTGAAATAAAGAAAACACACGCGAGGAAGCCTGTCCGGATGTTTCTGTCGGGCAGTATCCCATCGGAGACCGGAAGCGAACGGCTTACGCTGCCTCACGGTGAAAACAACAGGGGCCCACCTGCAGCCCCGATGTGTGTGACCTTGGGGACACACAGCCCTTCTGTCTAAACCTGCATCCTCAACCAAGACGGGCCAAGGTGACACCGAAAGGTTTTGCAGATCTTTCTGTAGACTGGACGGTCATCCCATATCTGAACCTGAGAACAAATGTGTGCCCAGAGTGGGTGCCAGTGCCACCAGCACCTTCACACACTGCTGGCGATTTTAACCACTACAATTAGGTAAAAGAAAGAGGAGGTCTGAATACCGGGAATGAGAGGGCAACGCTGCTACCTGCAAATGATGATCAGTATTATCTGGGGACGGCCAAAAGAAACAACTAAAAAAATAAAAGTTTTCAAAGGGAAATCCATTAAGGTGCCTTTATAAAAACATTAAAAATTTATAAGCATAAAACAAACCTAATTATGGTAAATACAAAATATATGTAATTATACAATGGAAAATAATGAAAAATACCTCAGCGGAGTATGGTGGCACACAGCTGTAATCCCAGCACTCTGGAAAGCTGAAGTAGGAGGGCGGCGAGGTGAGACCCAGCCTGGGCAATGTAGTGACTTAGATGGACCCTGTTTCAAAATAAAAAAAATTTCAAAGGGCTAGGGATGTAGCTCAGTGGAAAGGCCCTGGGCTCAATGCTCAGTATCCCCACAGAAAATAAATCAGTATCAAGAAAAGTAATTAAAAATTATAAAAGCTTAAAAATCTCTAAACAGAGAAATAAAAGACAAGTAAATAGAGATACCTTTCTTCCTTTGTTTCTTTGTCTTGAGACAGGGTCTCACTATGCAGTTCAGCTGGCCTTGAACTCACTGTGTAGCCCAGGCTGCTCTCGATCTTGCGAAGATCCTCCTGCCTCAGCCTCCCCAGTGCTGGGATTACAGGTGTGCACCACCACACCTGGCTCTGAAATACCTTTCTTTTGGATGAAAAGGCTCAGAAATGTAGACGCCAGGTCTCCCTAAATTAGTCTGCTGATTCACTGCTGAACAAAATAATCTCTTAGCATAATGACACCAAAATTCATCTGGAAAAAAATATATATACAATGAAAAAAATGCTGTATATATACTTTTGGCAGGTGCCCACCCCAAAAAAAGACAAATATAAGCCCAACAGAGAACATTTAACATTTACCAGGCACTTCAGTGGATGTCGGGCAATGTTTAGGCATTTTAATTATCTCATTTGCTCATCACAATCCAAATAATACAGTATTAATGTCTGAATTTACAAAGCTGAGGCTCGGAGAAGTAACCTGCCCAAAGTCACAGAGCTACGGAGTGGCAGAGCCGGAACTTGATGGCAAACAGTATTCCTCAGAGCTCTGCACTTCCCAGATTAATAGACTGGAGAATCCGGAAAAAGATCCAACTACATTATGCGGATTTCATTTATAATTCAAATCAATAGGAAATAATTAAGAGGTCC